GAAGAGAAAGAGAGAGAGAGAGAGAGAGAGAGAGAGAGAGAGAGAGAGAGAGAGAGAGAGAGAGAGCTAAGACTAGCACGACACGAAGGAAAGTACTATCCTCAGATCGGAGCATGAGAGAGGAAAAGTCGAGCGACGAAGCGAGAGAGGTAGTGAGAGACGCGAAGGACGCGTACGTATAATGCATTATTCCTGGTGGCTGCTCGGTTTAAGGGAAAAAGGACTTTGCTCGATATCAGTATTCGAGGCGAGCACGCTGTCTCCCGAAAGGGAGCGAGCCGGAGAGATAGAGAGCGGGACGGGCGATGTGAGTCGAGCAGGGGGAGTGGCTTTTCCTGAGGGAAGGAGCCAGGAAAAGGCCGCGGGAGGGTGTCAGGATACGGAGGGTGGGCGGTGGAGAAAGGGGGATCGAACAGGGTGGCTTGCAATTTCGAAATGGATTCCATTCCGCCGACGAACTCCCCTCTCCCTTTTCTCCTCTCTCGATCCACTATGCGGCTTCTCTTCCTCTTCGTTCCTTTCTTCGCGCGGGACTCAACTGGGGTGGATCAACCCCGTTCCCGTCTTCCCGGCTGTTGCACGTGACGAAGAGAGAGAGAGAGAGAGAGAGAGAGAGGGAGGGCGGGGGAGGGATAGAAAGAGGGAGAAGGTGCAAAGAACGAAAGGAACGTTGCTGAATTGGATGGAAAAGCCAGTCACATTTCTCCGGACTGATTTCCTTTAATTTCTGAAACGCTTCAAGTCTCGGAGTAAATGATACTATCATCCGATAGGTTCTTATGCTACTGAAAATCGACAATATTAACCTTTTGCAATTCTATGCCAAGACGGATTTGACACAATGTGTTGCGGTAATTTAGCGTATAATTCTTGAAGCGTACAAGATTTTATGCACGATTATAATCGACAAACTAATTTTTGGGATCTTCATAAATTCCTCCAGGTAATAAAAATTCTTTCATTCACGTAAGATCAACCGATTATAAATGGCAAACTATATTTTTTGGGATCTCCATAAATTCTTTCAAATAATAAAAATTCTTTGATTTACGGTGGACCAGCTGAATAGACGCGAAATTATTAAGGATAAAGTACCCGATTTTCAGTCATTCACAAGAATCAGTAGGACAGAATTAATCTACGTTTTCGATTATTTCAAAGATCAGATTTCTGATCGACTGTCGACATCCGGATATATTTCCGGGACAATCCGAACGACATTTCACCAATTTTTCACCTTCGACGATGACGTTGGTTTAATCTGGACACTTGGGATAGAAACTGAATTGCAAAATAGCTAGGATCTATGCCACTCTCCACGATACAAATCAGCCGCAAGCATAAATTCGATTATGCAACCATCGGGAACTCTCTCCGGGTTGTTTCCCTAACCGCGGGAATAACCGCGACGAGAGAGAGAGAGAGAGAGAGAGAGAGAGAGAGCAAGTAGGCACCAGTATATTTAGCAATGCACACGTCGGAATTTCCATAACGTTGGCGAAGCCAGGCATGCTGGCCTCCGCTATATATTCTCGCGATTCGCGTATGCGTCTCTGTATTAATAGAGCGTGTCGCAGTAAAATGAGAGCGCCGTGAGAAAATTCGCTTCGCCAAGAGCGCCACTGAACGCTTTCGTTGGGACACTACCGTTCCTTTCACTCCTCGCAATAAATAACACGACGGTTTAATTAGTTTATTTAAAGGAACGTAAAGACGCCTCTGCTTTTACTCAAGTTATTCCGAGATCCCCGTTTCGTTCAATAAAATACCCCGCCTGCTTCCGGTGCTTGGGATCATCTTTTTTTCCCTCTCTCAAATTATGGCAATAGTTGGAAAGATATTTACGTGAGACATTTACATTTTGCTATGATACTTATAATACGATTTACAGTGGCTCATACCAGTCGAACGGATGTATAGCCGCACGGGCAGTAAAACAAAATATTTATGCGCGCGTAAAAAGCGCCCTCCACCCCCCC